GCCGGGGATGGGCAGGGCCTCTTGGCTCATTCATAATCCACAGAGGAGCCCTGATGGCCCTGCTTGTACATTTGCTTAGGCCATGTCCTCCCCCGGGACAATGACCATTCCCCGGATGCTGGGTTACAGCACACGCAACGTCCAGCGTTTACAGAAAGGCACATCCACCCACAACACAGATGTTACAGAAACAGCCAGGGGGCAGGGTCTTGTTGGGAGGCGGGGGGCCCAATCCCCAGAGGGGCCAGAGACTGAGTACTGACGGGCACAGAACAAGGGGGCTGGCAGCTCACACTTGGCTTCCACCTGCCCCCCCCCCCCGCCCCCACGCCTCAACCCTGCAGGTCAGGGAAGGTCCTCAGGGGTGATGGGGCTGGACCTCTCCTGCAGAGCTCACTGCAGCCTCTGTCCCAGCACCGCCTACTCCCTGCTCTGAAGGACCAAGACCCTTGTCCAGGGACCAGAAGCACTGTGAGGTTAATAATTTCCTTCTTGGTTTCTGAGGCTGCCTGGGGGTTCCCTGGGGTGAAGGAGTGACGGGTGAGAAGCTATTATCATCCCCTTTCCAGAGAACTTAAATTAAAAGCGTCCTTCACCCCTCTCCGGACTTCCCCTGAAGGGACTCCAACGGCTTTAGGCCCCACTGCCGGCTCTCCCATCATCCAGGACAAAGAGAGGAATTGGGCTCAGCACCTATGTTCTCTGACTGAGCCTTTCCCAACACAGCCTGTGCAGCAGGTGCGACCTTCACTACTTTGTAGGTTGGGGGCCTGTGCAGGGGTGTGATCCTGGGGGCAGAGTGGGCTTCTGGTCCTCCGCTGGGTCCCTGCACTGCTCACATCCCCTCGGGCCTCTCCCCTCCCTGCCTCAAACCAGAGAGGCACCAAGGAAACCACAGGGTCTGGGGCAGCAGGGCCAGTCCAGGGGATGGGGGTGGCCCGAGGGGTGCCACTCCCTGGTATCCAGGAGGCCTTGTGGACAGAGGAGCCGGCCTTCCACAAAGAGGCATGCCCTTCTGCAAAGCCATTCTGAGACCCAGTAAGTGCCAGGCCGGGTCCTAGGGTCTGAGGAAGGGACAGGACTGCATTCCTGCCACTGAGGGACCTCGGGCTAACAATGAAGCAGCCCAGAACAGCCCCCTGCTTGCAAGTCCTGGGCCAGCCCTGCTGAGGTGCCCACATATTAGATGGTCAAGGGTAATTCTGGGTACCCCTGGCCCACAAGACCCAGGAAGTGTCTAGTAAAGAACCGCCCCCGCCAGTCTCCCCTGCAGCTGCCACACTGGGTTGGCTCTGGGCAAGGATGGAGGCCAGGCCTCCAGACCCAGCTCCTGTCCAGGCAGGGAGCAGGGGAACAAAGGAAGTAGTCTGAAGTGGTCTTTGCCCTCCCTTCCACGATACCCACTGCTCTCTATGCTGGACCCCAAGCCCTGCTCTCCAAGAAGGGTCCGGGGTTTACCCCTTAGGGCAAACAGACCTTGGGCCCAAAAGCTCTGTGCCCAAGCTCTCTGGGAGCACCCATGAAAGTTTCAGTTACCTGGAACCAAGCTCAAAACTGGTGCCAGGGAGAGGCCCGTTCCCATGAAACCCCACAAGTGGAGGAACCCAGAAACCTCTCTGTGTGCGTCCAGCAAGAACCAAGGGTGGATGCTGCAGCTAGTGGACCAGAGCATGGGGAATGGCAGACATTCACACGGTCGCAAATACCTCTGTATAAATTACTTATTAAAGGGTTAGTGGCTTTGCAGAGGAGAACCTGGTGATCAAGTGGACATCACCAGGATAGACAAATAGACACTGTGTGCCTCTCAAGGTGACGCCCTAGGAAGGACACAGCAGTGGCATTTACGTGTTCTTTGTGCCAAGAGCACACGTGCTGAATCTCTTGGTGAGAATCATCAGATGAGCCCCACAGAGGGACATCCTACCAAGTGACTGGCTGTATCTTCCACGCCCATGTCATGGGAGGCTGGCACCAGGCTGTGGCCAGGACAGGCCACCTGCCGAGAGGCTGCCGCAGAGCTCACTGGGGCACCCGGTAAGGGGGCCCACCCACGCTACCCCAATTCCCCTCACTGTGCCGTGACTGCTCAGTCCGTCCTTCAGAACAGAACATGTTAGGGGTAGAATCAGGGGAAACTGATGATCAGACGGTTCAGGAAAAAGTAGAGCAGAAATATTAAAAAGCAGGGCGCCTGGGTGGCTCAGTTGGTTAAGCGACTGCCTTCGGCTCAGATCATGATCCTAGAGTCCCGGGATCGAGTCCCGCATCGGGCTCCCTGCTCGGCGGGGAGTCTGCTTCTCCCTCTGACCCTCCTCCCTCTCATGCTCTCTCTCTCAAATAAATAAATAAAATCTTAAAAAAAAAAAAAAGAAATATAAAAAAGCAAATGTGGCAAAATGTGACCAAAGGGGAATGTGGGTCAGGGCGCTGAACAGTACGGTGTGCGGTTTCCGTGCATCTGAAACACGTCAAAGTAGGAAGCTTTCATTCACGGGGTGGGGGGGTGGCAGGGAGCGCACTGTGGGGCTCAGACCTGCCTGCTGTGTGGCCTTCAACAAGTCACCATCCCTCTCTGAGCTCATCTCCTGTGATGGGCGGGAGGCTGCTCTCTTCCAGCAACCCTGAGAACCTGAGTGGGAAGTGGCTGAAACTGAAAAGGAAACGTCCACTTCTTGGGGCGACCTGAGGTCCGGCCTCAGGGCTCTGCCCAGGTCAGCGTGGCAGAGGCGGTCAGAGACCTGGGCTGGGGACAAGAGAGCCCACCGATTAAGGCTGTTCCCGGGAGGGTGGGAGCGGCATCTCTCAGTGGCAGCAAGTGGCTGGAGTAACCGGTGCTGCCCTCAGGAGAGGAAGAGGCAACCCAGCACAGAGGGTGACAGTTGCCACACGAGGCCTGTGACGTGGCCACCACCGCCCAGTGGGCTGGCCAGAGCCCCAAGCAGAGAGGTGGCATCTGCTGACTGGGGAGGCAGCCCCAGAAAGACAGGTGGTGGAGGCCGTTCTCAGCAGGCTCCAGGGGCCTGGGGGCAGGTGTGGGCACACTCTCCTCGGGGGCTTCTGGGCCTCTGCGGGGTCCCTGCACTGCTTGCATCCCCTCGGGCCTCTCCCCGCCTGCCTAAGACCAAAGAGGCACCAAGGAAGCCACAGGGGCCCTGCAGGGCTCCCCTTTAGTGGAGGCTGACCTCTCCGGATTGCAGCCCTTCCCTACAAAGCCAGGATGCCAGGCACACAGGTGCCCACCCGAGGGTCCTAGAGCTGCAGGAGGGGGAAAGCCAGTCAGGCGGGGCCTCTGCCCTGCGTGGAGCCAACAGGTTTCAGGCGACATACTCACCAGAGCCAGGGCAGCTCCCTCCTGCCCCAGGGAGGACTGCGCCCCTGCCCTCGGCCCTGTCCCCCATACCAGGGCAAGGCCAAAACCAGACAGCAAGTGGCCCTGGGTCCATCCGCCCATGCCAGGACACCTTCAAGGCATCAGACCTGCAGCGAGTCCTGCTTCAGGGGATGGGGTGCCCCCCAGCTTGGCATCAAACAAGAAACAGGTGTCAAACACCTCAGGACAAACAATGGGGGCCAGCTGCCCCATGACCCCAGGAGAAAGGGAACCTCACCGCACCCCCACCAAAGTTCGGATGAAGATGGGGGGCCTCCTCAGGCCTACCGCCCATGTAGCGATGGGAAGGCAGAGGGGCGCACTCCTAACAGGTGGGAGGTTTTATTGTCACAGCAGAAAAAGGCAGAGCTAGGACCTGTTCCCCGAGACGCTGGGCTGGTGGGACCTTGCCCACAGGCTCCCCACTGTGGCCTGCAGCCAAGGAGTGCAGGCTACAGCACAAACGTGTCCCACTCCAAGATGGCAAAACACACGATGCCACCTGCATGTGCGGGCTTCCTCCCCCTGGGGATGCTGGGGCTCACACCCACAGTCAGATTCCACGCCGGCCAGCAGGCAGACGCAACCTGAACGCTAGGACCCCCCCTCCCCACACTGGGGGCCACAAACGTGTCTGCCCAGCAGCTGTCTGCTTCTGTGGGAAGCCAGTGAGGGAGATGGAAGATTTGGCCAAGGGGCCTGTTCCTGCGTGGGTGCGGGGCAGGGACAGGGTGGCAAGGTGAATCGGTGCTCGGTCTTCAGCAAGGCAGTTCCGGGCACCCCGTGTGGCCTGGCTTCACACAGGGAGACCCAAAGGCCCGTGGGCAGCTCCTCGTGCAAAGCAATCTCTCCAGGGGGCGCCACGCAAACCCTGTGTGACCCAGGCTAAGGGTGCGTCCGCCCAGCTTCCCGGACGGCCCTGGTTCACCGGGGCTGCTGGCTTGGGCGAGGGACACAGAAGTGCAACCCCCTCAAGCAAGGAGATGCTTGGGGTCAGCCTCAAGAACGTTCAGTGTGTCCTGGAGGGGTCCCTCCATGCCATGACAGGGTGGGGCCACTGGGAGCACCAGGGAGACCTGCCAGTTCACCTCACGGGGAGCGGGCATGGTGGACAGAGGCGGGGGCTCTGGTGCGATAGGAGGGGGGTTGGTGGGCACTGGGTGGCCAATGCCATCACCAGAGGTCAAGAGGCGGGTCCCGAGGCAGACACAGCCAGTGATAGAGCAGAGGCCTGTGGGCCTGGCTGGCTGCCTTTGTGCCCTGCTGCTCGGCACCCCACCACCTCAGAGCCAGCAGGAGATGCACAGGCCTCGGACAACTGGGGGCAGAGAAGGCAAAGATCAGGGACGCGTGCTGTCCTGATTGTCCACACCCTGGCAGGGAAGAGGGCAGACTGTGGCCGCACGGTGGTACTGGGCAGGCCAGCGACCAGGCCCCTCAGTCCTGCTTGTCCCCTCTCTGCCTCCAGGGGTAGATGAGCTCTCCGAAGAACAGCTTGCGGCACAGGGAGCCCCAGGAGTGCGTGGGGTGGCAGCCATAGCTGGGGAGGCGGTAGGTGTGCACCACACGACCATAGGGCAGGGGGTTTATCTGGAAGCACAAGGGCAGCGCTCAGCCAGCACGCAGCCCCCAGCTCCCTGAGGCTCAAGCTTGCCAGTCCAAGTGGCCCCTCACTGGGGTTCCCTGGGCTGTCCGCTGCGGGGCAGCACCCGCTCTGTCCAGACGGGCCCTCCCTGTACTCCCCAGGGGCAGGGTGAGCAGCTCTAGAGGGAGCACTCGGACCGAGGTCAGCCGTGCTCTCCTCTGGGCAGGCTGCAGGGAGGCGAGGCAGGCCAGCCTGGAGGGGCGCTGACCCCTCGCCTGCAGGACTCCCCCCCCGGAGCCTCCCAGTCAGGGCCCGGGAATATCCCGCACCCTTGAGAAAACCGTGCAGGGACCCAGCTGCCTCAGCATCTGACCTCTCCCTGAGACATGGCCCTCAGGCCAACCCCACCAGCCCCCAGCAAGTCACCCAGCAACCTGCCCGCTCAGGCAGCACAGGCCAGAGGGACCGTTTCAGAGAAAGAGTGCATCCTGAGGCCTTCGCCAAGTCCATGCTCTTCCTCCTGGAACAAGAGCCCATGGGGCTCAGGGCAGGAGCCCGGGCTGGTGGAAGGCATCAGGCACAGCCCAGGGGATCCCATCCAGGCACCTGCTGAGGGAGGTTCCAGGCAGAGGGGGTCACGGTGCCCAGAGGTCTTGGGGGTGAGGGAGCCAGCCTCCCCTTGCGGCCCCACCTGTCAGCTCTGCTGCGCCCGTGCAGCCCTCCCCCAGGGCAGCAGCCCCAGAATATGTGCAACATCATGGCGGGGGGGGGTGTCTGCCCAGGGGCACCGAGTGAGAGATGTGCAGAGGCCTCACCTGCATCAGGAGGCGGAGGGGCCTGCCAGCCTCGTGCTCCAGGACTCGGAACTTCACACCAGCTACAAGGACAGCAAGGTGCCTGTGAGGCACACGGCCCTCGGCAGACAGCCTCCCGGGCCTCCTGCCCCGTATGCCCGCAGCGGCAGGCCTGGGCACAGGGGCTGTGGTGGCAAAGGCCCCTTCCTGTCCGAGCGGCACTCAGAAGACTGTGGGTGGTCCGGGCCGCACACCGGGCTCACCTCCCCGCACGCCTCCCCCAACCTCCCCGTCCGCCTCCCCTCCGCCGGCTGCCTGGCCAGTATCAAAGCCTCTGCAGAACTTCACTGAAAGACAGAAGCTGCGTGTCTGGGAGGCGGGGCAGGGTCAGCTGGGCTTCAGGGCCTCAGGCTGCGCTGCTTTCCAAATGGGACATGGCTTCTCCAACAGAGTGGACAGGGTCCTTGGTGGGATGTGGCTGCCATGCTGGCATCTAAACGTCTTCCAAATTCTGTATGAGCGGTGACTTGGGAACCCACTGTGCCCCTGGCCTGTGGTTTGGGCTCCCCAGCCTGGGAATTTCCAAGGCAGAAAGTTCTTGAAAAGAGAAGCAGGAGCTAATTATCAATTGATGAAGAGGCCCCAAGGCAAACTCGGTGAAAACGAGAGGAGGCAGCAGTATCTGTGGACTTTTATGTGAAGTTAAAACAACTCTGCTCTGACCACAAGCTGCGGGCTGGGGGAGGGAAGATGCTGGGTCTCAGGCTCCTAGCCTGCCTGGTCCTGGCACTCTGAAGTATGGACACAGGCTGGGGTCCCCGGCATGGGCCACCTGGGGGTCTGCAGGGGAGGTGGCCTGGAAAGAGAATTTAAGGGCACCAGGAAGGCAGACTAGGTCCAAAGTGCACGGAGCATGCAGGTTCAAGTTCTCTGGCCCTCCAGAGGCTGGAAGCAATTGCTGGGAGCTTTGGTGTCGGGGCTGAGCTGCAAACAGCATGCAGGGCCTCCTGGGCATGCTGCTCAGCACAGGGGCCGGCGGAATAGCCGCTGGATGGGGGCTGTACCAAGAATGCCCCATGCTCCCTGATGTGTTCAAAACCCCTCAACGGGGATGGGCCAACTCACAATGCTGTGACCAGTTAGGTCAGCCTCCCCCGGCCTCCCCTCAGGAGCATGTGACCTACCTAGCGGTTGGTGTCAGCATGAAAACAGGGGCAGCCACCTGTAGAGGGGGACGGCCAGGGGCAGCTAGGAGGGGGGTGCTGTCCCGCGCACCGTGGTCTGCGGTCACACAGATCTGGCTAGCCTAGCACCCTTCAGCCTGGCCTGTCCCCTCCAAGGTTGAGGGGCACCAGCAGGCACACAGTCCCACACGAGCTCAGAGGGACGCTTCTCTGAGCCACGTTCAGGTACCACCTACGCTACTGCAGACAGATGTCAGGGCAAATGTTCACGCTCGTCACAGAAGAAGGTGACAAAGAGGAAGGGCTGCCTCTGTCGCCTCTGAACCCTCCAGCTCACCGCAGGCAGCTGGCCCAGTGGACATCAGGGGTCTCGGCTGCCCCCACCACCAGCGCGCCCTGCACACCACTGCTTCTGCAGGGCCCGTGGGTGCACCCCGCACACAGACCTACCCGCAAGCCTGTAGGGCCGGCAGAGCCGGAGGCCAAGCGAGTACAGCGGCAGGGAGTTGATGAGGTCCACGAGCAGATGCATCAGGCCCTGCACAGCCACCACCAGGAGCCGGAGCTGCAGCAACAGACGGCACTCAGAGCTGCACCAGGGCCGTGACTGCAGCAGCCAGGGGTCCTGGCCGCGACGAAGGGTGAGCAGGGGCTCCAGACCCCTGGGGAGGACACGGATCGCATCCTGAGGAGGGCACAGCTCCCACCCTGATCCTGAGGCCCAGCTATGAGGAGGCAGGGAAGCAGTGGGCAGGGGCAGCTGACCCCAGGGGAACATGCTACTGGCCCCTCGGTTGGGGCCAGCTGGGTGTCCCTCCCCTGGGCCCTCCGTGCACCCAGCTGTGTCCCAGAGCGGTGGCAAGCACCCCCCAGGGTAGGACCCCTGCCCACTCCAGGGCCCAGCACACAGTGCCCCGAGAGTCTGGAATAGGCACGGCCTCCCCGGGGTAGGGGTGGATGGCTTGCCCACAGCTGCCTGGCTGGCAGGCCTGGCTGGCAGGCAGGGCAGGCAGGGATCACTCCAAGCACTGTGGGCAAGGCCCAGCGGCCAGGTCAGCCAGCAGCCTCTCGGCTCACCAGGGTGAACACCAGGTAGTACAGGGCCGTGGTGGGCAGGAGGAAGACCAGAATGGTGAAGAGCAAAGTCCCAATGAACAGCTGCAGGGAGAAAGAACACCACCGTCAGCATCAGCAAGGGCCCCACGCCAGGGACGGCCCCAGTGGCACGAGCCACACCTCCGCGGCCCATCCCCACCAAACCCACCCTACAACGGAGCAGAAATGGGATGCCTGCCGACAGGACACCTGGGCTTCCGAGACAGCTCAGGAAAACCCGCTCATGACAGCTTTCTCCAGTACGGGGCGGGATGTGTCCGCGTGCTATCCAGACTCGGTGACACGCGGGGAGACAGAACCAGCCAACAGGGCGTAAGCACATACACCAAAGGCGGGAGGACAAGCATGCTGTGCAGGGCAGCACACAGGGTCCACCTGGTCAGACCAGGTGTGAGCCGGCTCCTGTGCGTAGGTCATGTCCGTGCCCCACCGTCCAGGAGCTCCCTGAGGCCCAGCACCCTCCTCCTAGCAGGGTCCGCCTCCCACCTGGGGCAAGGTCCTGCACTGTGGGAGGGCTCCACGTGCACCTTGCCCCCCGCAGAGCAGTGCCCCAGGCTCCACGCTGACCCCCCCGCAGGGGAGCTGCCCCAATACGTGCCGCGCAGCCGCACTGGCCAGGCTCATGTAGAGAGGGACCAGGTTGATGGGAGCGTGGAGGCTCCCCCTGCACCTTGCCTGGCCTCCCCCTGCACCCTGCCCGGTACCTGGTCCAGGTCGTAGGAGCAGGAGTCCACTCGCTGGCGCAGAACATTCCACTTCTTCCCCCGGAACAGACGCCAAAGCGAGGACAGGCCGCAGATCTTCAGACAGTACAGCCTGCGGGGCGCGGGCAGCGTCAGGGCGGGGCGCCATGCCCCCCCTCCCGGCGGCCACCCGTGGCCCTCAGGGCTTGGAGGCCGCCATGGGCCAGCCTGCACGAGTGGGGCGCCCACACCCACCTGGCCCCGTAGACGTAGAAGCAGTAGATGTGGAAGGTGAGCAGAGCAATGATGTCAGACAGGATGGACAGGGCGACCGTCAGGCCCAGGCAGGCTGAGAGGCCCACGTGCCACAGGATGCGCTCAATGAAGGGGGACATGAGGTGGATGTAGCCTGGGGGGATGGGGGTTGGCTCTGAGGGGGGCACCCAGGGAGGTCCTGCCCTCCCCCCCCAATTCCTCACTGAGGAGGGGCGCCTGAGGTTTCTGGAAACTGAGGGATGGACTTCACTGCTGGCCATCCCTGGGCCAAGCAGCCAGCCCAGCAGAGCAGGGCTACACACACATACCTGGGACGGCAAGAGGACAGAAAAGCAGGGACGGAGGGGACGGGGCCTGGCCTGGCCCCACCCCCTGCACTGGGGGGGCATTGGGGGGGCTCCCTGGGGCCAGACGGAGCCGGCACTCACTGATCCACAGGTGCAGGTGGTAGAGGAAGAAGCGGCCCAGCACCTGGTCCAGCGCCCGGTTCATCTTCAGCCCAGCAGGCGCACCCATCAGCCACTGCAGCAGATGCTGGAGCTCCTCGGCCACGTGCTGTAGAGACACAGGAGGAACATGAAGTCCGTAAACTGGGCCCCAGCACAGCCAACCCATCTGGGCAGGAAGAAGGTAGTCTGGGTCCCTCTCTCCAGGTGTCTCCTAATGTGATGGGCACACGAGGTTTCCCACACTTGTCTGGCCAAGGAAGCCCTATTCACAGATGCTCGGGGACCTGGGGCTGAGAGGCTGACAGTGTGCCCCTGGCCCTCAGGCCACGGAGGCCCTGATGGGCATCAGCTTTCTTCCATCTCAATCCTCACGCCACTGGACCCACAGGAGAGCTCAGCCCCATGTGCCCAGAGGTGGGACAGAGCCCGGCTCACCATGAACCTTGGGGGAGCTGATGGGTCTACCCAGTGCCCCTCTGCTGAGGACCCCACCCCACCACCTGGCAGCACGGCACCACAGACGCCTGGGCCTGAGCTGGGTGGGCGACCCCAGGTGACCCTGAGGGTGTCATGCCCATCAGGGGCCCAGGTAGCAGGTGGGAAGGACAGATGAGGTCTGAGCCATGAACAATGTCCAGTGAGGGCCAGAGATGGCACAGGGATGCTCGCCGGCAAGCTGGGAAGCTGAGCAGCATCCTGGCCGACCAGGGAGGAAGGCCAATGTCTGGGCACTGGGCCGGTTCCAGGGCAGAGGCCCTGAGGACCCTCAGCCTCATCAGCAATGCTGCAGCCATGGCCATGACAGCCCTGCCCCACAGTCAGAGGCCTGCCTTGCCCCCCAGCCCCGCTGCCCACCATTTGGGCCTGTGAAGGCCTCAGCTGAGTCTGGGGCAGCGAGAAAAGGAACAGAGCATTCTTTATAAATAGAGCTTATCTAATATTTAAAGGATAAGAGCTGGGCGGCAGGAAGAGGCTTTCATTTTTAAATTAAATATTTATATTTCTGCGCAGTTCTGCAAAAGGGAGATCGAAGATGAAGCTGGTCAAAAGGCAGAGCATGGGTGAGCAAGGTACAGCAGCGAAGCCCCCGTCCTGGCTTCCAGGCCCTCCCTCCTCCTTCCTCTTGGACCAGGTCTCCCCAAGAAGCTATAGGGGCTCTCAGCCTGTGAGGGCCCCTGTTCACGAGCAGGCTGAGGGCACGGCTGCAGCTGGACAGGGATGGGAGTGCCAGAGGCTGCACGCCCAAGGACCACCCCGCCAGGCCTCAGCCCCTCGACCACACCGGGGCCAGGAGGCCACTGGCAGAGGCCTGGGGGAGGCCCACATGGCCAGAGGGACTGTTCCAAGCAGGAAGACAAGCTCCCAACAGGAATGACAGGGCCTATGGCTCTGAGGAAGGGAGGCAGAGAAGAGCAACAGGGTGGAAACTGGGAGAAGTGGAAACTGCTGGTACTCAGCATGGGAACCGCCGAATCAGCAGTGGGAGAGGCCTGACCGCAGCTGGACACAGACAGCCCTGGATACACGGAAGGTTTCTATGGTACTTGCTGTGCAGAGGGCCAAGCCCAGAGCCAGCTGCCTCAAGAGCCAGGAGCCAGGGACCCTGGGCCTGGTGGGGGGGGAGGGGCCTCCCCTGAAAAGCCTCAACCACAAGGTGGCCCCAGGCATGACCACCTTCAGGAAAGGAAGGTAGAGGCCAGGAGCTGAGATGTGACCCAGTGGGGGCAGGTGGGCATCCGGTGAGCCAAGTATGTGCAGCCCTGGGGACCGGTCTGGGGTCAGGGACCAGGGCGGCTCCTCTAGCCCAACAGAGGGAAAGAGTCATGTGGCTCTGGCCAGCTGAGGGGCTTCTGCTACCTCCAGGCAGGGCCCCACTCCCACCCCTGGGACACAGGTGTTCCGGTAACTCACATCAGCCACAGGGACGAGGGCCTCCGCCAGTGGCCCAATGCGGTCCTTCCCACGAAGCCACGACAGCAGCGCAAGGCCAAGGGCCACATCGAGAAGCACAGAGACAAGCACGTTGGCCTTCCTGGAAGGAGGGGGCCAATGGGAGTGGGTGGTGAGCGGGGCCTGGCCGGAGGGGGTCAGCATGGGTGGGCCTGGTGCAAAGAAGTGGGGGGGACGCGCGACTGGCCACTATGAAGGAGACCCAGGCAGGGCTGCACCTCATCAGCTGGGTTGGGTTCTCGGCCTTCTGGGTGCTGAAGATGAGCGTGAGCTGCTCCAGCCGGTGCCTGAGCTGCTCGCACACAGAGAGCTTACTCCAGACAAGGGACAGGGGCCACAGCTTGAACAGCCTGTGAAGGAGCCGAGAGGTGGCCGTTCGGGCGGTGCAGCGGTCCTCCTGCCTGCCGGGGAGTGGGGGCCCCTCAGCTGGCACCAACACCCCTCACCGGGCCCACGTCAAGACCCTGGAGGCCCTGAACACGATAGCCACACTCCCGAGCTCAGCAGGACAGGGACACTGTGGGGGCGCACGGGCAGGCAGCCCGGTGGGGGTCACGGTGTGCTCGTGGCTGTTAATTGGGAACCCGACCTCCTCACAAAGCAGTGACTCGAGTCACACCCAAAGCCAAGTGCCAAGGCTTCACCCCAGGAGTAGAGAGAACGTGCTGTCCTGCCAACCAGCGCCTTGCCCTGCTGGATGGGTGACCCTCATCAAGGGTCTGCAGGCCGGCCAGGCTGCCCCATGAGACTCGTGTCTCGCAAGGCAAAGGAAGCACTGAGGTACTTCTGCAGGGATTCCAACACTGAGAGGAGATGTTTGCAAGTAAAGGTAAAGAAAGGGCCCTATTGTCTCTCGGCTCCATGTCCATCCAGAGCCTTGTTGCCACCAGCAGGAGCCTGCAGGGCTTGTGCTAAGCGCAGGGCCGCCACTAGCCATGCGCTCGGACCCTCAGGAGGAAGGAGGAAGTCTTCAAGCGGTTCTGAGCCAGCTCCAGGAATGAGTCACGTTCAGCACAGCCATCCTGAACTCCAGTCAAGTGGAAGGCACTGTCTGCACTGAGCACCCTCCCCCCGCCGTCTGCACAGCAGGGTCCCCGAGGCTCAGACCAGCCCAGGGCAGCCAGGGCCCCAACAGCATCCCTGGGGCTGCCCTAGGGGGCCAGGGGCTTCACTTCTGCACAGTGACAGCGATGCCTCACGTAACTGCCACTGTGCTCTCCCCACGGCTCTAGCCTGACGGGCTGATCGGGATCTGCGGCACACGAGCGTCGTTAACCTTTCTTGAGTCCTTTGAAAGGTGATAAAAGCCCAGGACCATCTCTCTCCCAAACTGCACCTTGGCTGACACACACTTTCCTGTAATTCATTCCAGGGGATTGTGAAGATCCAAAACCCACCCTTTGTGTCAAGAGCCCCTGCAGCCCTCAACCCAAGGCACTGTCCACACGGAGCTGCCAAGGCGTTCTGCCAAGTCAGGCCAGAGTGCTCGGCAGCCCTCGGTCAGCAGGTGAGGCCAGTCCCAAACCCGACAGCCAGAACCCCGGGACCTAAGTAGGGGGCGCCATCGGGGAGCTGGCTTCTCAGAGGGAGGGACCCCTGGAGCCAGAACACCCAGGGCCCCCAAGGGCTACACCCCTCGGCCAGGCCTACAGCCAGGAGTATTCCAGGGGACTGTACAGACGAGCCAAGGCTGGGGACCACCACCCCAACCCACGTCCATCAGTGAGCGGACACTGCCCCCACCAGGGCCAGGGAAGCAGGTGGGACCTGCGTGCCTTCCTTCAGGAGGACAACTCCCAGGCACCAGGCCACGCAAATACCAGCCGTCAGTCGGCAACAACCTGCGTGTGTTCACGGTCTTGCTCGCCTCGCAGGAGACTGAGCCACCTGAAGTCCACCCTGAACGGCTACCCAGTGGGTCCCACGCCAGTGCTGAGGCTGCCAAGGGAGCCTGCTCTGCCCAGGGAGCAACCACCACCCAGACGTCCTCGGAGATAAGAGGGGAGGGGACAGGAGATGAGAGCGGGAGGCCTCAGCAGGGCCTGTCTGGGCCTCCAGGCCTCTGCCCACGGTGGGGGCTAGGGCTCAGCGGCCGGACTTCCTCCCCGCCACCCCCTGGCCCCAGGGGCACGTACCGGCAGGCGCTGGCGGCTGAGACGAGTGACAACAGGCAGGTCAGCAGCACGCAGACGGGCCCCGAGGCACGCTTTGCCAGCTCGACGAGGATGCTGGCCTCCACGCCCTCCGACTGCCAGTGGCTCAAGCGCACAGGGCCGTCGTCGAAGCGGTCGCTTCGGAAGAGCGCCTCACTGCGCGCCACCGTGTCAAAGACAGCGGCCAAGCCCCCGGCACTGGGCGCGGCATCGCCGGCCTGGCGGTCGGGCAGGGCTGCGGGCGGGTGCAGCTGCGACAGCAGCACCTTGCGCTGGTCGTAGAAGACGAGCATGACCTGGTCCTCATAGGGGGCGCCGCGGCGGGGAGGCACCTGCCGGCGGGTGGCCTTGCAGCTCCACAACTTGCTGCCCGGCTCCCGGCACAGCTGTAGCCAAGGCTCGTGGGAGAAGATGGTGCCCAGGCCCTCCAGGAAGTGGCCCAGGCTCTCCTCAGCCCCCTGCCGGCGGTGGCACCAGGTGCCCAGCACGGCCAACTCCACGCGGCCGGCCTGATGCACCTGGGCCAGGAGCTCCTTCACCTGGAGGGGGATGAAGGGAAAGTGCACCACAGCCAGGACCACGGCGCTGCTCTGCTCTGGCACCCACCGTCCCACCAGCAGGCCACTGTCGGCCGAGGCGCAGCACGTGGGGAAGAAGGCCTTGAGCACCATGCTGGGCACGCTGGAAGAGAGGGGACGGGCTCAGTCTGGGGCGGCCCCAGGGTGGCCGGCAGCACCACAGATGGCCCTGAGGACACACACACACACACATGGCCACAGGGCCCATGTCACATGGGCACGGCCCCTACCCCCATCCCAGGCCGGCCAACGCTTGCCCCCATTTCAGAGACAAGCAGGTTGAACAGGGTAGGGGACATGCCATGATCCCCGGAACCACTCACGACGGTGTGTGGGGCTGAACGTGAGGGCTTTGTTTTTGTTTTCAAGGAAACTGATGAGTTTGTTATGTGTAGCACATGGAAAAATGTACAATCTCATTAACAATTAAAGTAATGCACATTAAAATCTAATGAACCTTGATTTACTTACTAAGCTAGCGAGAATAAAGATGAAAATGTAAATGGATTACTGCTGGGCTGAGAGAAACCAGATGCAGGCACACGGTTGGTGGCTGTGGGCACTGGTGCAGGGGCCCCAGAACATACCGGGGGACGTGCCTGTGCCCTAAGCCCACCCCCTGTCTGGTGAGCCCCCAGAGGAGCCTCGGGGCTCTCATGGGGCTTTGGCAGCTACTCTGACCCACCAGCCTATGGCTGTGCCCACCCACCATTTCGGGGCTGAGTTCCCAGCAGGGGACTGACTCTCTTGTCACAGTTGGGCGAGGCAGCTGTCTAAACGTGGGGGGCCTGGAGGATGACAAGCTCCCCACTGTCTTCTCTCAGGCTGAGGGCTGTGAGCCTTCCTGGCCTCTAACCAGCAAGACCGGCCCCAAGTAGCTATGACCCCCGAATTCTGTGGGACCCTGAGCCTTGCCTTGCCCAGAGGTAAGTTCACTGGGGATGCAGGTTTCTCAGCAAGCACTGAGCCCCTCCCAGATGGTGGGCAGCAGGCCCTCATCCAGCAGAGCCCTGAGGGCTTCACCTTGGAGCATGCTCTTTCTCAGACACTGACTCTCCCCACCTTGTTGTCACAAAGGACCCAGCAGCCACCCTGAGCTAAGACCCCCAAGCTGGAGCCCACACCCAAGGGAGGGACACAGGCCTTGGACGGAACCCAGGTCTCCAGGCCCTACCGCTCGCCAGGCCCTTGGGACATACATGTTGGGATGGTGGGACGTGTCATCCATTTGCTATCAGCTGGGGGTTCTGGGAGGGGCCTTACACAGACACAAATGCCCAGGGCTTAAGAGGTCACTGGTGCAGTAGCTCGCCCTCCCTGCAGGGAGGCCAGACTGGGGCCAGGAGGTAGAGGCCTCTCCCGGCAATTGCGCAAGCGGGTTCCAGCTGAAAAGGGTCCTCTGAGCTGAGCAGCCGCACTCCCGAATGTCTCTCCTCACCAAGTGCCTGGTGCCGGCAGGGGAAAGCCCAGAGCCCAGCAGCAGTCCCGGGCCAAATCCCCGTGGCCATCACCAGGGGCCCACTTCTCTTCCTGACCTTCCTGATGGGGCAATGTGAGATGGACAGAGCAGTTCTGCCTGCGAGGGACCTGGGGCTTCGGGCTTGCTGACCACGGCGGGGGGCCGGGCATCACACTAAGACAGCTCAGCCAAACAGCACTATCACACCCCGCTTGGGGACTCCTTGCACAGGATCTAAGGAAAACGACCCATGGCTACTGTCGGAAAAGAAAAACAATTGGCCTAACAGTGAACAGATGCTCTGGGGGAAGCTGCATCTGTCGGAGCAATGGGGTTTTCACTTCGGGAAAATTCATTGAGTTATACTCATACAGTTTGTGCATTTTCTTTGTGTGGGTTATGCTTCATCTACAAAGTTTGCCTAAAAAAGAAGAAGAAAAAGAAGCAGCTCCTTATATCTAAGGAAGAAGGGCAGAGGGCAGAAGTTGCTGTTCTTATCCGTGGGGTAGCTAGAGAGAACAAACCACGGGGCCAACTCCCATCCCCACCCCCACCTCAGCCTCTGGGAGTGAGGAACACAAAGAAACCTGCTCAGATCAGACGCCCAGAAAAAGAAGAGCAGGCAATCAATAGCGGAGGTGCAGACGGGGGAGGGGGCAGGAACTTGGGCAAGGAGCACATCTTTAAAGACCAGGATCCAAAACAAGGGCCCAGGCCTGGGAAAGCCTCGTCTGTCAGGGGGAACACCGAGCTCCCTTCCCAGGTGGGTCAGGCAGCCAGGTCTCTGGGGCAGGGACAGCCCTGCTCTCAACACCTGAGGTCATCAGTGTGCCTTATGAGGGAAGCTGTACTTCTCTCCTCTGCGTGAACTGACTGTGGGGAAGAGCCCAGTCATGGCTGGCCAGGGACAGCTCCACGGCTGACCCCCGCCTCTGGAAGCTACTCCAGAGCTCCCAGAAACTCCTTTTCACCCCATGTTGTTTGTTTTTGTTTGGCGTTGGGTAAACAGTGCTTTCTCCCCGTCATCTCAGAAGAATGGCTGTGAACCTACAACCCCCAACCCGGGGCTCGAACCCACCACCCCGAGATCAAGCGTGCACGCTCCCCCCGACGGAGCCGGCCAGGCACCCCTACCGTTGTTTTGTGCCCTATGTACTGCGGTCTCTGCTGGGCCCTGAACGCCCTTCCCCAGGGTCCACCGCGGGGGCCGGCTGGGGGTGTCACTGGGACACGGCGGCACGGCCGCAGACCACCCACCCGGGCCCGCCCCCGGAGCCCTGCTGTCTCAGGCCCGCCCCTTGACCTGCAGCGCCCCCATTTCACAGAAGAGGAAACAGAGGCTCCAGACGCGGGGCGTGGCGGGGGGCGCTGTGCCGCGCCGGC